GGTACCTGGGCTTGGGACAGAGCCTTTGTCACCATCTCCACCACAGCTGGGCACGGGAGGTTATGGAAGGAGGAAATGCTCTTTGGAAAGAGCCTCCGAGTGCGAAACCCTCCGCTCCATTTTGCAGGATAGTGCGTTAGAGAGCAGCCGCTTTGGATGGGATAGAGACAGATGTATGTCTATGGGTTTTCTTTTCACATTGCAGTTTTTTCTATCACCTCATGATCAATACTTAGTGGAATTAAATATCAATTAATATATTGTTTTTCCTGAAGAATATTTTACAAACTTCAATACACATGGTATTGACTTTTCCAATCAGCTGAAGCTGCCTAGCTGCTTTAAAAGTACATCAGGGAAGCAATGTATGGCATAAGCAATGTGAATAGTAAGTGAGAGGGTCAACTATGACTTTCTTTAAGTAACTATCTGATCCCTTTTTTCTTACGGTAACATATTTTCCACAAAGAAGATTCTTCAAGGTTGAATCTTGTACAGTCTCCTCCCCCTCTCCACCCTCCCCCCCCTCCACCCCCCCCAGTGCAGGGCAAATCAAATGCTTGACAACGTTTTTTGTTAGGAAAGCACATGAAAAAAAAATTTGAATATACCAATAACAGAAAAAGTCTATATATTTTTATTGCAAGAAGGAGATTTCATTGGCTGAATGAAATGGCGAGATGTGACGCAAAAGGACACTTGGACGGTGGAAATGCTGATGTATGCCAAAGCAGGCGCACCAAGAAATGCTGTTGCTATGAGAGAAACAGAGGGAGAGGGAGGGAGGGAGGGAGAGACCGTGAGAGAGCAACTTGTGGAGGCCTTAGTTTTCCTTTTTGGCTTATAGCAGAGAGAGACTGCAACGTCTCCCGTTTCTAGCAGGGAGGGTTCAGGAGCTTCCAGTGGGTATTTTCATGAGGCTGAGCATTTAGAGGAGAGGAGGGAGATGAGAGAGATGCAGGTCACCTTAGAGCACAAAAGCAATTGCAAAGTAGGAGGCTGTATGTACTGAGCCAATGATCTGTGCTATGATAGATATACAAATTAGTACGGCAGATGAAGCAGCTTAGCTCATTATCCACCTGATGGTACTGAGACTTAACAATTCAAAATGACAGAATTAAAATGCAGGCACACACAGACACACACAGACATATATTTATAGTGACCCCACCTTTTCATCTTATGAATTATCCAGCTGGGATACCGACGTCTCTTGTGTGATATTCTTAAAGAGCTGCAATAAATTCACCTTGTGAGTCCATAAGCCAGAAAAAGGGGAAAATAATTTGCAGGAATTTTTTTTGTCTATCTTCTTCGGCAAGGGGGAAAAAAGTTTGTGCTATGAACTTAGCCTAGCAGCTTCTGGAACGTGAGCCAAAAGGGGCAGGAAGTTGTTTTACAATAGCGTTACAGTGATCTGCCACAAATGGAAAAAGCCAAATGTTGGACTCGGCAAAGAGAAAAAACATCCTTCTCCCCCTCGCTTCCCTCCTCTTGCCCCTTAAGAGAGAAAGAGGGAAAGGAACGCTGAGCTAGAAGTTCTTTTTTAATTACTTCTTGTAAGTAATTGAAAGATTATCTTACTTGCATATTCCATGGCAAGCAGGAGGGAAAGAAGTATCAAAGGGACGTTTAAAAAAATGCACTTGGTAACTAGCAACGGGACTTTTGGCACAATTCCTTGAGTTTGCTTGAGGTTATGGAGGGGGATGGGAAGAAGAAAAGCAAGTCGACGCAGCACGTTTTCTTTAAAGAAGGGGAGGGTGTTTGGAGGCAAAACTATATAATTTTTTTCTTTTTTTTTTTTTTAAGGAAATGTATGTTGATCTTCTGAAGCTGAATCCTCAGGCGTTTGTGGCCCGTCCTTGCAGCCTGGTATGTTTTTTGTGAGTGTGTGCGAGCGCTCTCAATCAAACAGCAATCATGGCAGCTGTTTTTCTTCCAGCACAGCAGTTGAGCTGTCTCGCCCAAATGCTTATCAGCTTTTGACTCGGTGCCAAGAGAGTTATAAGGGCCAAGCAGCCTGAGCTTGGCTGTGCAGCTGGTTTGGAAGTAAGGGCATGAGAAAACAAAATCGCAAAGTTTTTCTGTCACATACAGTATTTACTTTTTCAAATAGCCATTTTCAGCTCGGTACGTTGGGGTTGGTTTTGTGTGTGTGTGTGTGCTGTAGTTCGTGGTCCTTGCGGACTGCTGTGTTACGCAGAGCGGTGTAGGTGTGTGACTGCAGAGAGGAGCCTCTTCTCTCCGTTTAATCCCGGGAGATATTTCCGTAGAAACCACCCCCCCACACACACCCCCACCTCCCCCAATTAAAAGCTTCATTAGCCGCACTGCCCTGTCAAGCATATTGCCATAGCGTGGGTGCATTTACATTCCAGCGCAGCGCCTTTCCTCCCATCGCTGCCTCTCTGCCGGG